TCCCTCCATGCAAAAAACAAGCGCTTACTGACACTTCAAGCTTGGCTTCACTCTCATCCCCTAATCCACTCCGGAAGAACGAGTAGGACTTACAGCAGTACGCCTACCCGCCCTCCAACATGGATATGACCTATCAAGCTAACTAGGTACCTATACCTTCCCCTCAGGCCCTTGATTCCCCTATCTATCGTAGCATGACCTAACGGTAGTATAAACCTTACCCAATTAACCCACACGAACATGTACAACACGTCGTAAAGCTGGTCATATCCTATCCGGGAACTACATTCCATATCATGGGGATGAGTCGTCATTCCACCACCACTTGCTCCGATCGGCAGATACAATGAAGTCAGTGATGCTGACTTATCAACAGAAGTTCTTGACCCATAGATAATATGCAAGGGTGGGATCTCCAATTTTGATATTTCCTCATCTCCCGAAGACTTTAAGTAGCATAAAATGGGACCAATATTTATCTCTCCATCTCCTGATACAGAGGAGGTTTGGTCAGCATTCATCATCGTCGATAACTCATTTGTCGCATCAGTGACATCCAGATTATTATCATCGTCACCATGATTCCATTGTGTCAGACAGGTCGCGTCGTTTCGGTCTGCACCGACCGTAGCTGCTACCTTGACGTGGTGGTCGGGCTTGTCTATCGTGATGACCCAACCGAGCTATACTGGCTGGAACATATGTTCCTCAAGGTTCTACCATGCCAAACAGGTCGATTGGAGAACGATGAGACTAAAAGCAGCTACTTAATGTCTGAGGGCGAAGTCGTACTGCTGACTGCAGAGGGGTGTGACAGCATTAAGGTGTTTCCCTCTGACAACCAGCATCTGCAGCGATGCTGCCTTCTCACAAGGAAGGAAGGGTTAGAAAATTTCAACCCTAAAAATGTCACACCTCCCCTAACTCACGGATTTCCGTCTCCTTGGGTAAGGGTGCCCAACAAGGGCCTTTAAGAACGGAGCTAATCCTCAAAAAACATTTCATAAAAAGGCCGTGCGTGACCGGCCTCAAGCAGTTGTCCCTTGGACTCTGCGGTCACGCACCAACACTAATCCATCTTCCTTTTCAGGTTCCTCAAGAAACAACCTTCCACGGTGTGGGCAGCCGGGAAGTGACAACCGCCCTCATACCCGTAACAGCACGCGAGACCAAATTGGTCAAAATCAAATCCTTCCTACACCCGCTAGTACCTCTCTTATCTCCACGACTAACTCTTCTCACATTCATTCATCACAGTGCATAGCTAATGCAGATGATACGAGTTCGCGAAACGTCGTTCCTGGTCTCCTTAAACCTCGCTCTAGACTACATGTTGGAGCTTTTAATGTACGGACATTGTGTCAAATAGGGCAACAGGCATCATTAGCTAGGACTTTAGAAACTCGTGCCATCGATGTATGCTGCGTCTCGGAAACGCGCATACAGGATCCTAGTAAAGTCATTAACCTGATTCCACCTTGTCAAAACGAAGAAGCAGCCCGATTCACTCTTCGTGTATCCGGTAGCCCTGATGCTGCTTCCAGGGGTCTTGCTGGCGTAGGCATAGCATTGAGTCGTAGAGCTGAACAATCTCTCCTTGACTGGATCCCAGTAGATAGTCGTTTGTGCGCTGTCCGACTAAACGGGACAGTAAGGACTCGTAGAGATAGGGACAATCGCCGTTGCCTCTTCATCGTATCTGCTTATGCCCCCACTGAATGCAGTTCAGACGAGGTTAAGGATGAGTTTTACAGAAAGCTTTCGGACCTCCTCCAAAAAGCTAGGCGCTCTGATATAGTAATAATGGCTGGTGACTTTAATGCTCAGGTAGGTAGACTAAGTGAGCAGGAGAGACACCTAAGTGGATGTTATAGTGTCGCGGCTCAGAGAACAGACAATGGTGACCGTCTGTTGCAAGCATGCTCAGACAACCGCCTATTCTTAGCAAACACTAACTTTAGGCATAAGGAAAAGCATCTGTTGACCTGGCGACCTCCAAAGTCGTCTCAACGTTGGACTCAACTAGATCACATCGCCATCAGCCACCGATGGAGGGGTTCGATAGAGGACTGTCGCTCGTTCTGGGGCACATGCATAGATTCAGATCATGCCCTAGTGCGAGCGCGTATTTGTTTGAAGCTTACTGGACGTAGGAAAGACACTGTAAGAAAGCCTCTTAGGGTTTTACTTAATGATAATCAAACTAAGAAAATATTTCAGGAGCAACTAGAAAGAGAGTTAAGCAACCATGCAACTGATTCCCATCCAGAAGCAGGTTGGTATGATATCAAAAAGGCTGTGGAAACAGCAGTGATATCTGCTAGTAAGGTTGACCATAAGGCTAGAATGAAACCGTGGATCTCAGTAGCATCCACCGGTCTGATGGATGCCCGAAAACTCATCCCACCTGGCTCTGAGCATGATGAAGAACGAAGTCAGCTTAGGCGCAGACTTATGAAAAGCCTACGTAACGATCGTGAACAGTGGTGGGTGGCGAAAGAAAAGCGATGGAAAAGGCAGCGGCGATCGGCAACACTAGACAACTTTTCCGACTTATCAAGGAAACTGGTATTAGGAATCCTAGTGTAAGTGAGACTATCTCAGAAAATGACGGGACTATTATTTATTCTCAATCCAGGAGACTGGATCGATGGGCAGAACACTTTAGGGATCAGTTCAACTGGCCTCGAGCCACTCTTCGGTTACCCACGATCTCCAGTCATCCTGAATGGCAAATCGACCTAAGTCCCCCTAGTCTTAATGAAGTTGAAAAAGCGTTAGGAAATCTGAAGCGAGGACGAGCTGCAGGTCCTGATAGACTGACCCCTGAGATATTTAAGGATGGTAGTCCAGTTTTAGCAGCTAGATTGACTGAGATCTTAGGTAGAATCTGGGAACTGGACGCAATCCCATCCGACTGGTCTCAATCACTGATTGTCCCAATCTATAAGAAAGGACAAAAGTCTTCTTGTGACAATCACAGGGGAATAAGTCTGACTAATATAGTATCTAAAATATTGGCCTCAATAATACTTCGACGCTTAACGAAAGCTCGTGAAGAGCAGACTCGAGAAAACCAATCAGGTTTTCGACCTGGACGTGGCTGTATAGACCACGTCTTCACACTCAGACAGGTCCTCGAACATAGATACACATTTAGACGTCCTACAATTGTTGTTTTCCTGGACCTAAGGCGACATTTGACTCAGTGGATCGTGAGGTTCTGTGGCAGTGTCTGTCATTGAAAGGTGTACCAAAGAAGTACATTAACCTCATACTAGCTCTCTACTCAAACACCACTGGTCGAGTAAGAGCTTATGGCGAACTGTCACCGGACTTCTCTACATCAAGTGGTGTCCGTCAGGGATGTCCACTCTCTCCATTCTTGTTTAATTTTGTCATTGACATGCTGCTAGAAATAACCTTATCCTCGTCTAAATTTTCTGGAGTAGACCTTCTACCAGGTGGCTCGCTTATTGACTTAGAATATGCCGATGACATAGTCCTACTTGGTGAAGATGCTGACAAAATGCAGTCTTCTGACTACCCTAAGCAACAATGCAAGCATGTTCAGAATGCGGTTTTCCCCCTCGAAATGCAAAATGTTGCTTCAAGATTGGGTTGCATCGGCACCTGAACTAGTGATAGGGAGTGAAGTGGTCGAAGGTGTATACCGCTTCACTTATCTTGGGAGTCTCATCAGTGCTGATGGCCTGGTGACTGACGAAATCTCGGCACGTATACAGAAGGCTCGATTGGCTTTTGCCAACCTGCGTCACTTATGGCGTAGGCGAGATATCCGTTTGCTGACTAAAGGACGAGTGTACTGCGCAGTGGTTCGCTCCGTCTTACTTTATGGCTGTGAAACATGGCCAATGAGAGTAGAAGATATTCGTAGGTTACTGGTTTGCGATCATAGGTGTCTTCGAAGCATTGCTCGTATATCGTGGGACACCCGAGTCAGCAACGCTGTTATTAGGAAACGAGTACTAGGTAAGAATGGCAGATCAATCGATGAAGTGGTGAAACTTCATCAGTTGAGGTGGTTGGGACACGTGTTGCGTATGCCTAACCACCGACTGCCTCGACGAACTTTGTTTTGTAGTGTAGGAGTAGGTTGGAAGAAAGTTTGGGGCGGCCAGAGCAAAACATGGCAGAAATCCATGACGTCATTGACTAGTGGACTTAGCCATGTCGGTAATTGTCGACTACCTGGTTGGGGTCCGCGAGATGATAATAATCGATGGTTAGAGACCTTGAATGACATGGCTCAAAATCGTTCGCAATGGCGCCAGTGCATTTATTCTTTGTATTCTCTCAAATCCTAATCTTCTGGGTTCTTCAACACCTCTAGCTTTTACTTTCTAAACTTATCTCATTGAATCATACTTCGTGAATAATATCTTCTAATTCTAACCTCTCCGATTACTTCTAATACCTTTACTACCTCTTGTACTATTGGATTTGAATTGACAATTATATCTCTGTGCTGATGTGGTATGGCGACATGAACTGATGTACTTACGTACGAAGTTCTACGTTGCAACTGACTGACTGACTGACTGACATTTACCATACACAAATCAAGACTCAAAAAAAGACTAATTTAATTAAAATCACTCTAATACATAAATAATAAGAGAAGACCGTAAATAGAGCATAACATAGTTTAACCACATGATCCACTTATATCGTACTAAGGCTTTAACACCAATGTACAATATCAGACCAACCAATTCACAGTGTGAATATTACAACAACAACAACATTGTAGCTCATCAAAAAATGAATCTGTATAGACAAAGGAAAAAAGGTAATTTGAGTGCATGATTATCAAAACAGGCCTAGATACTTCATTGAGTTGCTGTCATAACTAAACACATATTTTTATAAATTGACTTAACCTATAATTACATCAAATTTAAGTATTATTTATAATATGATTTTCATCACAAAATACATAGAGTAATAAAATGTTTTGATAAAAATGAATAATCTACCGTAAAGGATTGATTCTAAACGTAAATCATTACTGTTGCGTGTTTCAATAGTTTTCTTCTCACTGTCCAATTTATAACGTAAACCTAATAATAAGTATAAAATGAACATGAGATGATTAATATACCTCACACTACTGGTTAACATTTTTTGCTATCACAAACCTAATGTTTTGACAATTAACAGTGGTGTTACTGAGCTGACATACACACAAACTACCTAAAATATGTTCATTACAAAAGAAACTAAATATCCGTAACCAGTAGGATTGTGAGCCGGACCGAAGGTTTTGAGTTCTGTATCTGGTGGAATTGTGGAACAAAATGGATGTTCACGGTTTCGTGGCTTTCAATGATGGTCTAGTGAACATCAGTTCGTGAGTTAGACTATGAAAATATAATTGCCTACGTTAGTGTATACGTGAGGACAAAAAGAACAAAACATATTATGAACACAAGCGTTTTCAAGTTCATTGAGTACACCTGCATTTTTAAGTGATGGAAATTTCACCTAATTATTAAATAAAGCGAAATTGTATGAATGCTATCATTTAAACTAGTTAAAGCACTTGTTTTTCTGTTTGCCAAACGTTTGTTGAGTGAAGCAAATAGCGTTTAGGATAAAACTAAACCTTACCATTGAACATGAGTGGTTCACATAATGTCTTCGATAACTAAGTACATCATAAGCATGAGAATAGCTTAGTCAGACAATCTGCTGCTCAAAAGTAATATCTAAACATGAACAGAATTTTCAGGGTTTACAATTCACATATATGTAGTACGTGGTAGTCACCTTTTCAGAGTTTCTCAATCCCCTAGAAATACCTATTACTTGATCCTCGAACGGTAAACAAAAGGTGGGAGGCATGAAGAAGAGCTTTTCCTTTAATCGTAGTTCGAATGCATAAAATAAGGACATTTATAGGTTTATGAGACTTTATGATTTTGGCTACTTGGAACATGCTAGAATTAAAAATAAAACCGGAAATAATTCAATCAAAATATGAAATAATTCATCGCTTTTTCAGAACTCTCTGGGAACTTTCAAGTGAACGCTAACTGGGAGTATTTTAGGTTCTATCCCAGCTTCTCGACACTTTCCGGGGAATTCTCAACAGTTACCAAAAACGGATGATTTGCCATCCTTAAGAACAAATTATATTCGATACATAAAATAGTCTAGATTAGTTTCTCTTCGAGGTTTTTATAGAAATGAACATAGTCTCCACAATTTTTGTTTGAACACTTGTTACCAGATCAAAAAAGACATTAGTGAGAAAAGACTTGAAAATAGCGTCCTATTCTGTTTTAAGCGTTTGTTACATGTATAGCTATTTTCCATCCCAGCAATAGTAGCATCATTTTGTAGAGGGCAAAGTAAAAAATGGTATTGTTATTATGTGAACAGATACAATACCATTCGATAGACAAAACACAATGATACGATACAACCGAGTAATAGGCGTTCGCGCGACCGACTCAATGACAAAACCCTTGGAGGAATCGAGATCAGAAATCAAAACCACTAATAAGAACTGATTTCTGTTATCTATAGAATAACTCGCAAATTATCTGCACACAAAAAATATGGTTAGATGTTACATTCAAATGAATTACGACTTAACTAATAGGCTTATATATATATATATATATATATATATATATATATATATATATATATATATATATATATATATCACCTGACCGACAAAACGATGTAGGATTATTTTGTGTCAACAGTGATGAAACAGAGATACTTTGGACGTGATTCACATATTCTTTGATTTCCATAGAAATCACATTCTTGATTCGTCTACTGAATCACCAGCTGATTCTCAAGCGACGATATTTTTTCGTATAATTAGGATGAAAATTTATTAAATGACTTTATCGGTAATCACTTAACCACTTGAGATGTTTTTATGCAGCAACTGAGACCTCCAATAATTATTGTGAACTTTTTTAGTGAATCGTTCGTGAGGGCTGATTTGGTGAAAGCGTCGTCAGCCACTCAGTCTGCTACAACGCAGAACTTGGTACGCACGCATTTCAGTTCAAGTTGCCATACCACATTACCAAACACACAGATGGAATTTTCAATTCGAATACCACAGTAGTAGGGGTAGAAGGAGTATTAACAGTTATGGAGATTAGGGTTCAAAGATATGATCCGAGAGGCATAATACAGTGAAATAGATTTAGAAAGAGAAAAAAGGTCATGGGGAATAGTGTTGTGGATTTAGATGATACTGATTCATTTAGAAGCATTTTAATCAGTTCTACCTATGATTGTACCGACTGCATAAATAATAATTTCCACTCATCCACTGTAATTGACATTTTGACATTCGATTTTTATCCCCATTGTTAATGTTATGGAATAGGATTAGATGATTTGTGATAGTGAAGAAAGTAAGGTACAACTTATTAATCGGTTGATATTCAGTGGTACTTTTTTAGTTCTGTGCCCATAACGCAAAAGTCAATATCGTAAACCTGATTGATTCATCAATGTAGTATAAGCCCATCGCATTTAAGTATCTTGAATTATATTTTCACGAATGTAACCATACAGAAATATACAAGACGATACATGAACTTTTATACCCCAGATATATTCATTAATAATATGTAGATGTTTTTAACTTTCAACCTACCATCCATTCCATCCAAACATCGAAAAATTAAGACTAAATTTGTTCTAATAACATTGACAGGTTCACTTGGACCTTCTTGACCCATACTTTGGCGAAAATTTTTTACTGTAACCAATAAATCATTAAAACTAAAATGAAGAAAAGTGTTTACACATATTTCATTAAGTTTTATTTTCAGAAACATTCATTTCATATTAAACTTAATGTCAAGAAAAAATATGATAAATTTATAAAATATCGACTTGTGTTGAGTCAATTATTCAGCTTCTTATCAAAGCTAATGATTGTAAAGGAAACTATTCAGATGAAAAAACGTACGTAATTTTGTCATGCACTAGGAATAATCACACGGAAAATAACTACAGACTTCTGGTAGGGGAAAAGAGAAAACATCCAAAACAATAAGTCCAACAAATCTCCAAGAAACTTGATGGCATTTACTGACGAACATATCAAATTTTTCCTTGTTTATTTAACTTTAATATATGAATGATGCAAACTTGTAATGAGAGCTGAGTTACACACATAATTTAAAAACTAAGAATTTGAGGTTCATTTAACTCATAGAAACCATACCATTAATGAATACATTAAATATTACAAATATCTACGTGCTGATTATAAACGAAGTGTGAATAGTATGATAACGCTCTGCTTATTATCGTATATATCACTCTTATTTTTTTACACTCATTTAGTAGATGGTGTATGCATAGTAGAGTATTCACTTAATGTTATCAACCCGTATGGATTACCTTCATAATGTTATTTTCAAAAGGAATCCAGCTGAACAATCACAAACAGAATGAAACACGTGTTTTGAATCCCACTGCCAACTATAAATTCATCTATTTTATAAAAACAGTCTACGTATGTTGTAAACGCGGCTACGTAAATCTTCAGTCCTAACGGCGTCCAATTCAAATATCACAAAACGACCCAAAGGCTTTCCCAAATCTCCTAGAAATCAGAACGTAACACCGTGGCAGGAAGATGTTTATTGGGTCGTAAACAGAAGTAGGCAGGGGAAACGGAATTATTAAGTCTTCCAGATAGCGCGTATTTATACACTAAGGTCGAATAAGAAAAAGCATCAACGTCTGTGACATTGACAATTTAGGACGACCAATAGAGAAGGACATTTGAATGACATTGACCGTCCAGATGACCAATAAGAGGTAACATTGAAGTATTTGACCCTGACGGTAAGAACGATCATAATTTCGGCCAATAGAAATCGACCAATAAGATTGCACTTCTAAAAATAGTATTCTTAGGATATTTGGTGAATATCCTAACAACGTACAACATATCTCGGATTGCATAGGCCCCCGACCAGTTTTCTCCAACCAACTCTGTCCTGGGCTTCCATTTCCAATTCTGTCCAATTTTTTTCATTCCTCTCATATCTTTCTCTATTTCACGGCGTAATGTGTCCCTTGGCTTCTTCGTTTCCTTTGATCTTGAAGGTTCCAAGTGAGGTCTTGTCTTGTGACGCAGTTGGGTGCTTTTCGCAGTGTGTCCTATCTACTTCCACCGCTTCCTGATTTCCTCCTTCACCGAAATCTGGTTTGCTCTCTCCCACAGAAGGTTATTGCTGATGGTGTCGGGCTAACGAATCCGAAGTATTTTGTGTAGGCAACTGTTAATGAATACTTGTATCTTCTGGATGATGACTTTGATAGTTCTCCAAGTATCCGCCGAATCCAGTAGAACTGTCTTGACATTTGTATTGAAAATTATGACTTTGGTGTTGGTTGATAGTTGTTTGGAGTTCCAGATATTTTTCAACTGTAAAAATGCAGCTCTTGCTTTGTCAATCCGCGCCCCCCACATCTGCATCGGATCCACCTTGGTTGTTGATGATGCTGCCAAGATATGTAAAGGTGTTAACGTCCTCCAAGGCATCTCCATCAAGAGTGATTTGGTTGGTGCATGTTGTGTTGCATCGGAGAATTTTGCTTTTTCCTTTATGTGTGTTGAGACCTGCTGCTGCTACACTGGTCGTCTTTTCTTGCATTTGTTGTTGCGTGTGCGATAGAAGAGCCAGGTCATCTGCGAAGTCCAGATCGTCCAGCTGCGTCCTAGCTGTCCACTGAATAACGGAGCGCTTGGTGGAAAGTTAATAATAATTAAATAATTACAACTTTTTAGTGATATCGCGATGAGTAGAAATTTGCATTTCCGTCGTTTCGTGACGTAATGCAGGTCACTTCAGAGTAAATAAATATTTGTTACTGTTATTATTGTCATAAGGATATCAACAAAAAGTTACAGTTATTATTAATATTACCATTATTATTATTATTATTTATTAAAATAACATTACATTTTAGACAAATTGTGTAGATGATAACAGATAATCTAATAAAACTTTAATAATGCTTTTGATGATTCACTGAACGGCTGGGTAAAGACTAACAAATTTTACAAAAACTTACTTGGAATTCTTATAGAATTTCAACAGAAACATAACTGGATTAAAGTCTTTATCCGCCAAATGTACTGAACCTGAGCCTATAATGCATAGATGTAAAAATAAATTTTGAATTTGTTTTCAGAAAATGACTTTATCAAAAGTCAGTGATTTTAAACAACAGTGATAGAAGAATTCACTTAGTAGATCAATGTGTGTTGTGTTCTAGCAGGACCTTGCATTTGCCTTATGTATGTTGAGACCTAACTATGAAGACCCACATACATCAGAGTTTTCATACATTTAATTTGGTCAAGCCCTTTTGATTAATTTATTTAACAGAGTCATTCATACATCATGGACTGGCAACGCATTGGAAATTCTGTTATTTATCAATTCCTAAAGATTGAATACTAACTTTGAATGCAAATTAAGGAAAACTACTTGTCTTATGAGAACATTCATAGAAGACTGCATGAAGTGACTATTAATAACATGGTTAACTTTGAATTGATGTTTAAATGGGTGTACTTTGATCTTTATCGGTGCTATCAACTTACTGTTTTCACACCATTCTCAAAATAGATACTTTATGAAACTGGTATAAATGAAAGTTCAAAAATTAGACGCTTTTATAAATTTGGATAGAACAATTAGTAGACCTATGTTGGTACTCTTGAAAAAAATTCAAGAAAGGAGGAAAATGAAGGCAGCAATCAACATGAGCTGAACAAGAGCAGAGAAAACAAAGGCACAAACTGAATACACAGAAGCAAAAAAGCAAGTGAAGGGGAGCATCAGAGCCGACAAACCTAAATATGTGGAAGATCAAGCAATGACGACGCAAAAGGCTGCAAGAGAAGGAAAGTTGAGACAAGTGTACGATACAACAAAGAAACTCGCTGGAAACTATCGTAAACCAGAACGACCAGTGAAAAGAAAAGAAGGCGAGATTATCAGTAACACTGAAGAACAGCGAAAAAGAGCCCCACTGAACCCACTCAACATTGAAGCAGCATCCACGGACCACCCAATCGATGTTGGCGCACCTACAATTGAAGAGATTAGCGTGGCCATCAGACAAATCAAGAGCCTCGAAGCAGTGGAACCAGGCAACATTCCAGCAGAGGCTATGAAAGCAGATGTAGAAGCAACTGCAAAAATATTTCACATTCTCTTCAACAGGATTCGGGATGAAGAACAAGTACCAGCAGACTGGAAACAAGGATACTTCATCAAAGTAACAAACAAAGGCAATTTCAGCAAGTGTGGGAACTACAGAGGTATCACTCTTATCTCAACACCAGCTAAAGTCTTCAACAGGGTATTGTTAAACAGAACGAAGGACTTCGTAGACGCCCAACTTCGAGATCAACAGGATGCATTTCGAAAGGATCGATCGTGTACCGACCAAATTGCAACACTACAGATCATTTTGGAACGACTAATTGAATGGAACTCACCATTCCACATCAACTTTATTGATTATTAGAAATCATTTGACAGTGTGGACATGACAACACTGTGGAGGCTTTTTCGACACAACAGCGTGTCTGAGAAGATAGTCAACATCATACTGAATCCTTATGATGGATTCAACTACAAAATCGTGCACAAATAACAGCTCACAGACTCGTTCGAGGTCAAGACCGGTATCAGGTAAGTTTTCTTACTCTCAACCTTTTCCTTTCTCTCAGTGATCGAGTGGATTATGAAAAATTCAACATCTGGAGGGAAACAGGACATACAGTGGACAGCCAGGATGCAGCTGGACTTGGCAAACGACCTGGCTCTTCTATCGCACACACAACAACAAATGCAAATGAAGACGACCAGTTTAGTAACAGCCTCTGCAGCAGCAGGTCTCAGCATATACAAAGGGAAAAGCAAGACTCTCCGATACAACACGACATGCACAAACCATATCACTCTTGATGGAGATGCCTTGGAGGACGTTAACACCTTTACATATCTTGGCAGCATCATCAACAACCAAGGTGGATCCGATGCAGATGTGGGGGGCGCGGATTGACAAAGCAAGAGCTGCATTTTTACAGTTGAAAAATATCTGGAACTCCAAACAACTATCAACCAACACCAAAGTCATAATTTTCAATACAAATGTCAAGACAGTTCTACTGGATTCGGCGGATACTTGGAGAACTATCAAAGTCATCATCCAGAAGATACAAGTATTCATTAACAGTTGCCTACACAAAATACTTCGGATTCGTTAGCCCGACACCATCAGCAATAACCTTCTGTGGGAGAGAGCAAACCAGATTTCGGTGAAGGAGGAAATCAGGAAGCGGTGGAAGTAGATAGGACACACTGCGAAAAGCACCCAACTGCGTCACAAGACAAGACCTCACTTGGAACCTTCAAGATCAAAGGAAACGAAGAAGCCAAGGGACACATTACGCCGAGAAATGGAGACAGAAATGAGAAGAATTAGCAAAATTTGGACGGAACTGTAAAGGAAGCTTAGAAAAGAGTGGGTCGAAGAAATCTGGTCGGCAGCCTATGCTCGATTGGTGGTAACAGGCGTAAGTAAGTAAGTGACGTAGTCATGTAAGTCTGTGCATAAATCACGTATTTGAAATATATGATTTGTATAGTGGAGGCCGATAACTGTTTTGGACTCAACGAGCAGAGCAGGGCGAGAATCGACGACGAACTGGTACTTAGCTGCTGGCTCAAGGTTATTGGGGCGCAATCGTATTCCGATTGGTGGTTCTGTCATGCGATATTGGTTAGAGTTGCATGCCACAACAATCGGACAAACGAATCAGCATTAAGCAAATAACTGAGTGTAACAAGTTTCGTTTGGTATACATTTTTAAGCTTGTTAGAGCATTGTTTGGACAAGTAAACACCAGACTTTAGGTTATAACTGAGTCCTAGTAAAAAAATGAATAATTGATTATGCATAAATTATCAATGAATTTCTTACATGGGTATATTTCTCTCAAAGCAGAGTCTGAGAGTGGCATACTAATTCGACTCAATTCTGATATTGGAAGGCCAGTGGAATGATCAAGCTCAGCTCCAGGAACACACCCAACAGCTACAGTAGATCCGGACGATCCTCCAGAAGTACTACCACTAGTAGGAGCAACACGTCGATCGTCTTCTGGCCAATAAGTTACAACAGTTTGTGGACCTTAAAAGAAAACTACGTTGTAAATTTTTTACAAAGGAAATAGAGCACCAGGAATTCCGGAAAGTTGGTTGATCGCTTAACAAAATTCTTTTATCAGAATTATGAAAATTATAACTGGTAAAAGTATACATAGCCAAGAATAAATACTATCGTGAATCCCAGACACAGTAAATATGAAAATTAGCGAAGATCAGAGTTAGAGCATTGAGAATTTTACTTTATTTTACTCTACCATACTTTACTTTATTAAACGTAAGATAATCTAACACCGTTTATGGCAACTGAGTTATGCGGAAAACTTGAAAATGTAAATTTACATACTACTGGTAGCTTTATTCAAACTACGATCCTCCACCAGTCCAATATGATACCAAATAAATGCTTGGAGAATACAACACATATCTACCATCTAATAGTTTGCAAAGACAAGTGCTACATATTCAATTATGCGAAATGACACTCAAATACCACACCGTTCATCAAAATGCTTCGATGTTATGTACTGTATTTCAAACTCTGATTTATTCATAGATACAATTGATACGTTACAATTTCACAAAGCACAGAGAAAACCGACACAATTAACTGCCAGACAACTAATTTTGTTAACTGCAAATGATTATCTGAAATAATGAGTTTTATCTAAAACCTTGTATTCATTAGTATCAAATAAAAGTTATTTGCATTCTGATTTAATGTTCTTATTTCTAAAGCAATTCATGAAACTTATGCTCATCTAAAGGTCTTACACAGAAGTAGGTTTATGTACTCGGCTATAAGCCACACAGCTCATGTGAATAATAACAATACCCAATTTTTTATGACAAATTAAATGAAGAGGAGCTGAAAGGGCTGAGAATCAAGGGGTTTAGCCATTAAGCCAGTTGGAGAGGTGTTATAATATTACTGGGAACTTCAGTCTCTGTCCTAAGATTATGAACTAAAGAAACTAAAACAATGCAATAATTAGAAAAAGTGACCTTAGAACTTGGGTGAAAACGTTTTGTTGTGAGAAGCTTTAGAGAAAGATTAGGCGATATTATAGCTTTTGAAAAACTGGAAACAGCGAAGTACGAGTGTAACAATTAATCAACCGAACTTACTGACTACACGGAGCATATTTTGATGATAAATGACTGCGGCAGTTCCGAACCCTCCACTATCGGTAACCACAACAATTTCAAGTTCACCTTCACCCAGTGGTGTGATGGCAGTAATTTTCTTAGGCGAGAACCATTGGGCACTTCTCCCAACATCTATCCCACCAATGAATACATGTAGAAGGTCACTTGCAGTGCTCCCCAAATTTTCTCCTCGAATAGTCAGCTTTGTCCCAGGGGTTCCTTCGTTTGGAGAAATTCCATTGACTTTTGGAGCAGGACCACTAGATTTCCCCATTACAGTAGATTAATAAGTTAAAGACGACCCCCTGGCAAATAACAATAATACGAAAACAAAAACTCATTCACTCACGATACAAAGGCAAACTGAGTTGCATTACCATTATCTATTTGATTTACAGATGATGAAGATCAAGAGCTTTGATGGAATATCTCAACATTCAAGTGAAGATTTATAAACTAAAATGTGAGTTAAACCTTTTTAGAACAAATTCTACTAATTTGTAGCTTAAATCTCAGTAGGTAACATGTGCTAGCTCCATTTACCACCGTATAAGAAGATTCAGAAATGAAATCTCACCCAGCAAACAATGAATATTCGATAAGGAAGAAGACAGTAAAAGTACAAGGAATTGTATTTGTAAGTCTCAATAATGTAGTCAAGATACTGAAGGAACGTTCTTGCAATACATAGTTTTATACATTGTTCCGTTTATGCAGAGCTTGATGGTTTTACAGTAACATATCCACGCTTCGTTAGCCTGCAAATAAAAGAACATGTTTATGTTAATAAAATCACAAAGTAGTTTTAGCACTTGCACGTGAATGAATCAGACGGTATCTCTTCAGAAGGGCGCATGCCAATAAGAGCGACTATTAAAAGGGGGCATACTAATAAAGGTGATTGTTGAGAATAACATTACTAGTGGTGTGAAATATGTTCGATTTACCCTCAGTTCTTTAACATTGTGACTAGTCAAGATATTTTTCTACACGTATGATAAAGAGTACACTTTCAGTCAACACTAATTTTGCGAACTTGGTGACAAATTGCTCTTTTTATTACCTTAGAAATGTTATCTCGGGTGTCTATTTCGAACAGCTATGGCATAGTTTATCTAGAGGGGCGATAGTGTGTATTAGGTTTGCAACAAGGCAAGAGTTTATTAGACAATATTAGCTGGCCGAAAATGCAATTGAAATAAAAATGTAACGATACATAAAATACATTTGTTTATTTGTTTTGAAAAAAAGTATTTGATTTGAGTTAAATATACTGCAGTCAGTCAGTCAGTTCACCGTAGAACTTCTAACGTAAGTACATCAGTTCAGGTTGCCATACCACATAAACACAGACGCTGTTGTCGATCCAGATCCCATAGTAGTAGAGGTAGTAAAATTATTAGCAGTATTCGGAAGGATTAGGGTTCAAAGATATTATTCAAGATGCATATTTCAGTAAAATAAAATTGAGAAGATAAAAATAAAGGTAATCAGAAATTCAGAAGATTAGAACTTGAAAAAACACAGAGAATGAGTGCACCAGCTTCAACGTAAATGGTTTTGAGCCATGTCCTTCAGGGTCTCTAACCATCGATTACTATCATCTCGCGAGCCTCAACCAGGTAGTCGACATCCACCAACATGACTCAGTCCACCTGTCAGTAACTTAATACATTTGTGCCATGTTTTGGTCCGGCCGCCCCTAACTTTCTTCCAACCTACTCCTATACCACAAAACGTAGCTTGTCGAGGCAGTCGGTGGTCGCGCATTCGCGACACATGTCCCAACCATCTCAACTGATGAAGTACTACCACTTAAATTGATCTGCCATCCTCACCTAGAACCCGTTTCATAACAACAGCATTTCTTACTCGGTTGTCCAAGGATATGTCTGCAATGCTTCGAAGGTACCTATGATCGAAAAAGAGTAACCTACGAACATCTTCTACTCTCACCAGCCATGTTTCACAGTCATAAAAAAGGACGGAGAGAACTGATGTGCAGTAGACTCGTCCTTTAGTCAGCAAACAGAAATCTGACGCAGGTTGGCAAAAGCCAATCGAGCCTTCTGTATCCGTGCTGATATTTCGTCAGTCACCAGGCCATCGGCGCTGATGAGACTCCCAAGATAAGTGAAGCATTCTACACGCTCGACTACTTCACTCCATACCATTGTTACATTGTTGCTTGGAGTAGTCAGAAAACTCCGCATTTTGTCAGCGTCTTCACCGAATAGGACTATGTCATCAGCATACTCTAAGTCAGCAAGCGTGTCTCTTGGTAGGTCTACTCCTGAAAATTCAAACGAAGATCATGTTACATCCAGAAGCATGTATATGACAGAGTTAAACAAGAATGGAGAGAGTGGACAGCCCTGACGGACACCACTTGAAGTAAAGAATTCCATTGACAGTTCTCCATAAGCTCTCACTCGACCTGTAGTGTTCGAGCAGAGAGCTTGTATAAGGTCAATGTACTTCTCTGGTACACCTTTTGACGACAGACACTGCCACAGAACCTCACGATCCACAGAGTCAAATGCCGCCCCAAGGTCCAGGAAGATAACTATTGTCGAACGCTTAAATGTGTGTCTGTGTTCCAGGACTTGTCGTAGTGTGAAGATGTGGTCTATACATCCACGTCCATGTCGGAAACCAGCCTTGTTTTCTCGAGCCTGCTCTTCGCGAGCTTTCGTTAGGCGTCTAAGTATAATCGAGGATAGCAATTTAGAAACTATATTAGTGAGTCTGATTCTCCCGTGATTGTCACAAAGATTTTTGTCCTTTCTTATCAATTGGGACAATCAGCGCTTGAGACCAGTCGGATGGTATTACACCAAGTTCCCAGATTCTACTGAAGATCTCAGTCAATCCAACTGTTAGAACCGGAACACCATCTTTAAAAATCTGAAGGGTAAGCCTATGAGAACCCGCTGCTCTCCCTTGCTTCAGATTTCCTATCGTTTTAGACATTAATCGACCGTAAACCACTAGTTAAGTTAACATCACGGAAAAAGGGATTCCGAATTGAAAGGATACGTTACTTTAACGTTAACATTTAGAATTGCATCAGATTTGCTATTTGACTGATAATTTGAAGACACCCGTAGTACTAATCATAGAATTCTAATCCATGAATCCATTAGTTTCAACGACAAATATAGCCTGATAATCGAAAACTATGTACGTCTTCTAGTTTTCAGTTCGACAATGACGTCCAACATTAGACACTAATGTTTGAGCCAATTTAGTAACAAAGACACACAAACCCATGTCTACCTAGGTAGTAAATCTGGGTAACAAAACTTAAAACTCTACGAAGTTAGTTTATTAGGTTTTATTACTTCTCAGCAAACATAGTCACAGTAAACTTCTAACCAATAGTATATTTTTGTGGTGTTGAACCACACTAGTCTTTAGGAGCAGAATACAAATACGACTACTAGAAATGAGCAGTCAGTCAGCTACAACAAAGAACTTGGTGCGGACCTGCATCAGCTTAGGTTGCCAGGACCAATTAGTTCAAGGCAATGAAATTGACAATACAAAGCCCATAGAAGAAAAGGAAGTAGCAGTATTAGCAGTAATCGAAAGTACTAGGTTTAAAGGATATGATCCAAAAATTACAGACCGATGAAATAAATCTAAAATGAAAAAGATCGTGAGGATTCAGAAGAATAGAATTTTTTAGAAGTCAAAGAATAGATACACATGTTTCACTGCAAACGATTTTGAGCCATAAAATTCTGTCTCTGAACACAAATATCCAACATATCCAATATCTCTTTCACGGGCTTTTATTTATTTGAGCTCGATTCTTATTCTTTTGGCACAGCTCTGTGTAGATGGTAGTGTCCAATCGATGGTAGTGTAGCCACCCAACTGCACTAATTCTAATCAGTTGTTCATGAATTTGTATGTCCTGTGATTTGAATGACTATGTTTGTCTCAGGAAAGTAGATTTTCTGGAAAACAGCAACTTGAGATTAGTTAGTTGCAATGCGGAGAATAATAATGAAAAAATTCTAGTGCGAAAAAGATTTCAGAACTAAGTAAATGTATGGATAAGTTCATTAATTGGTAATGAAGATTGTGCGAGAGGACCGAAGTGTAAGCGAGGAAGAGGAGACAGAGACTATGAGCGAGATATAACAAGTTAGTGATCTGAGGAGATGGCGATAAGAACAACTAGCAGGTCTCAAGACATGCATCAGGCACAGCTGGCTCAATTACGATTACAATCGTCTCGCAGCTTACTAAAAACAAATCGGCGGGAAAAATATAGTGAATATATGGGGAACTAAAAGTCATAACTAGTCTGAACACACAGCAAACATCGCGAGTGAGAAGAAACATCAGAACCAAACACAAAACCTTACCGGTAAAGTCGAAAAGTTCGCGCCTAATGTCCAATACCCAGTTTTTAAACATCTTTCTCACGAGCTAGCATAAACTAATTGATTTCTTTGTGCTCGATTATTCTTCTTTCGGTACGGCTCTGTGTATTTGGTAGGGTCCAATCGATGATAGTGTAGCCACTCAAATGCACTAGTTCTAGTCCGTTGGGCGGATGAAAATCTGTATGTGAGTACGTGTTCATCAAGTCTCTTCTTGAAGCTACGGACTGAGGTGGCTATGGTCACCTCGACTGGGAGAGCATTCCAAGTTGTAACAACTCTTACTGTGAAAAAGTGTGCACGAACATGGGTGTTCTCTCTTTGATGAGCAATTTCTCGAGGTTTACCTTGTGGCGTTTAACGTTCGTTATCTTCGATTTCCCGTATATCTCCGTCTTGATGATCGCTGCGAGAGAACACAAGCCCTTGCCACAATTTCTTTATTATTCAAATTGTTTATTGATCGATACAAATATGGGATTTATTTCAAATATGTATAATCGATATTGACATCGAATTATTCAAACTGTTAATCGATACATCTAGTCAAATAACTATATGTGTAGGTGGCAAGTAATGCACAAGTGTACATACGCATACAAGCTCAACAATGATAAAAGTACGAGATATATGTGAGGTGCCACAACCTCAAGTGGTGCGGTGGCGATGTTTTGGGAAGGTGCCCATGTTAGGATGATTCGGTGTACTTTATGTATTGCATGCCGATATGAGACCACTTCTGGTTCTTATATAACTCCTATGGAATAATCAAAAGTGTTAGAGTCTATCTTTGCACTGTTTGTTCTTCAACCCTATCACCCATTTAGTTGTTCGTCTGTACTCGGTCCAGCAGATTTGTGTATCTTCTACTGAGGGTGCGGCGAAGTTATGAGCTTCAAGGTGTGGGCGTGCGTATAAGCTGAAGAGAGTTACGAACAATTTTGGTGTGATTGCACCAAGTTTTTTTCGCACAGGTTGAAGTGTTGCGTCTGTCTTTGTTGTATCCTCAATGTAGTTCGAACTGGTGTTCAGGCTCTCTGTGGTTATTAGACCGAGATCGCACTCTGAGGAGATTGTGATGAGCAGACTTTCACTGAGTGTATAGGTCGTTTGTGTCACGTTTGGCATAATGTTCATAACGTGACATTTCGACTGGTTTAGTTTTAACCCGTTTTCCACTGCACAATACTCAATTGTTATGAGGCCCTTCTCAAGCTCTATTGAATCCTTTTCGCTTTACACGGACCCCCAGATTGTTGCGTTGTCTGTGTAGATGGGTCCTGCTGAGCTGGTTTTATCTAAAATGTCCACTGATGAACAGGAGTGGACTTAAGATGGTCCTGCGTGAAACTCCTAATGTTGAGAGTCTCCAGCTAGCATGCACTCTATTTACGCTGGTACGAAACTGTCTATTCTGGAGGTAATTTCTGAGCCAACATAGTGGGTCAGTGAAGCTCATCTTTGAGACCTCCGTAGTTGGGAGTAAATGAGGCACTGTGTATAAATCTTCCACGAAGTCAAGGAAATATATGAACATGTATTTTTTGATCCCAGTAGGTTGTCCAGCTGCCTCATGCTATGAGGACATTCTATGTGAATGACCTGCCTTTCCGAAACCCGTGTTCAGCCTCGTAGAAGATTTTCTTCTTATCCACGCACTCCCTCATTCGCTAATTCACCAGTCTTTCTACTACATTCTACAGTATTGGAATTAATGCGACTGGTCTGTAACAGCCTCGGTCCTTCCCATGTACCCTTTTGAAGACTTGAGAGAAAATAGCCTCTTACCATTCGGTTGAGAGTTCACGTGGCTCAAGTGAGTTGCTGAACAGGTCATATAACGGTGAACTGGAGACTTTTGCACACTCTTTCAAGACCATAGAGCGAACACTGTCAGATCCCGGTGACTTTCATGGGCGTAAGGATTACGATTTTCCTAGTGCTAAGTCAGGAATAAGTTTGATGTTCCCTAGAACATAAACTGGCAATAGGATAAAGTAGTAGTATGAAATTGTAGGTACGCAGGTCAACTTGTTGGTAAAGGTGGTGTTAAAGAAGTCAGACATCTCTAGGTTGGTAAGATATTCGTCATTTGGACCTTTGGGGGCACAATCACTCTGATTCGTAGGTTTTCTCCTAGTCATGAACCTAAACAGATACTTCGATTTCGCCTGTATTTTGGCAGCTAGCATCATCTGGAAGTGTTTCATATCACTTCGAACCTTGGCACTGCAGCTGTTTTGCAATGCAAGTAAGAACTACGGTTGGAATTCTTCGGAGAGAACTTCCACTTGTGCCGGACTCTCCCTTTCGCCTGTAGCAAGTGTTCAGTGCCTCGCCTAACCCAAGTTCTCCTCTTTCCCGGTGTGTGATTTACCTGAGGTACATTGTTTAGGACAACATTCCGGATGATGTCTCTTACTATGCTGCCAGTGATCATCTACCGTTAGTCTCCACCATTCCAGTGGCCATGGGGCATGTCGAAAATACTCTCTCATGTACATGTACTTTTCCCTAGTGTAGCAAAGGGAGGGTTCGTTCTCTTCCTTATTGAGTATTTCGTTTATGACCATGTTAAACATGACTGCACCACGGTCACTACTTCCCATTGGCGGATGAGCACGAATATTCTCGACCAAGAGCGAGACCATGATCGTGAATTGTAGCGTGGGTTGTTGATCAACATCGACTGTTATTAGTGTGCATCCATTTTTGGCCTCCCTGTTGTTGTCTCATAGATCGTGGTTGGCTCTAACAATATCTAATGTGACTAGAAAGATCATTCTTTACGCTGTAATAAACCAGAAGTGGTTTGGTTAGGTCTTCTCCATTTCTGAAATCCACAGCCATCAGACGTGGAGACTTAACAGTCGTGAGGTGTGATGGACGGAGCAGTCGGGAAGTGCTAATTGTCATTATGGTGTGAAGCGCCATGCTACGTGTTAGCCATAGCCATTGCCATTGTTGCACGTCATTTGTGTGAGCTTCATCCATGCTACCACTAACCAGCTCGTGCACACCGTGAACTACCATAGTGGTCTGCTCTTGGATGCCTTTTAATGTCCTACCAGCTGCTCGTGTTGTGAAGGAGAAAACAGGTGAGGGCAACTGAAATGTATTTATCGCAAATTACAGAGTTAGTTGGTAAAATAGTAAAACCATATCGTAAATCGTTATTTGCAAAAATATCAATCCATCATATCGAACTGGACTGTTCCTGTTGCAAAACATCAATCCATTGTCCGATATTTCACTGTTCATGTGTTTCATACAAATCCCATTGTGTTTGCGCTCTTCGTTCCTTCATCTTCCCCCATCTTCTGCTGCCAGACATTACGTTTTCATTCGCGTGATATACTACTTATAAGTAGCGCGCACCACACTCGTACTGATCTCTGTTTGTTATGCCTGACTCGGATCGAGGAGAGCAGTTTAACAGAGGGTCTGTCAGATGTTAGGATAATTTATTCGGCAACTTGTGCCGAGTCTAAGGTAACCCTCAACGGAAACGGCTTCCGTTTTGCAACGTTCTGGCCCTTGAGCAGACGGCATAGTTTCAGCAGGATACTGCTCATTCCAGGAATTGTGCAGTAATTGTCCCACCGTCATTTATTTGTGAACTGTTTAGTACATGGTTCTCCCTCAATCTGAACACATTTCCTACCCCCGATACTAACACCAACTGTAGCAGTATGCATATTCTTTGTACCATCAAATTTGATCTTAACAATATTCAAGCGGCAATTAAAACCCTTAAACCCAATGGCGGCTGTGGTGCGGATGAGATACCTTCCATACTTTTTAAAATGGCAGGGCCGAACCTTCCAGCGCTTTTGCTTAAAATGTTTACCTTATCCCTTGAGTCTGGTACATACCCCGAATCGTGGAAGTTGACTCATATTGTCCCAGTACATAAATCTGGACCGAAAGACTTAATCCAAAACTAACGTGTGATGGAGAAAGTGATAAAAGATCAACTATCTGATCACTTACTCAGGGAAGGTCACATTGACCCCTCTCAACATGGCTTCACTAGAACTAGGTCATGCACCACATGTCTTTTAGATTTCTTTCATGAGGTTACCAGCATACGCGATCAAAAGCAACTGGTAATCGTGTTGTATTTTTGTAGTAATTAGAAGTATATGTATCAAGAATTAAGGATATGCACAAACGAATGTATTGTATTTAGAATTCGAAATCAAGCATTCAACAACAACAAGAAGTTACTAGTTCATTCAAACACCACATCCGCCACAGCTTAAATTGGAATGTATATGTCTGTAATCAATCGTACGTCTTCTTCTCAAATTCATCCTGTGTCTGTCCGACAGTGTATTGGATAAAGGCTCTGTATTATCTGGTTCTTGGAATTGTATTTGATCAACATGTCGATTGTGTGTACTTAAGTCATTGATATCTAGAAGTCGCACCATAGATTTCCCTACATTCTTCAGAACAATCCCCGTGGATGGTCGAAGATCATTGCCACGATAATATGTAACTTCTGCAGACTCCAAACATCTCATATTCGACCGAAGAATTCTTCCTTTTAATAGTTTTGATGGAGTCTCTTTCGTCACCGAATGTCTGGCATTTCTATATTGCAGTAGAAAGGTATCTACTCCCCTCTCCAGCTCATTAAATGTTGAGGCGGCAATAGAATCACTCAACCTCGAATGCTGATTTTTCAGCTTATGACACTTTTCGCAATTCTTTGCTGTACGACAAATATCTGCATTTAATGACTGTCGAGAAATGTAGTCAGCATGTTGAATTTGCTTGGCACTCCCGTGCTGAACCATTTTCATACTTCCATTGCACTTAGCACATGTGGCTATCCAATCTTTAAGTAAAGCATCAGAATTTTCTTTAGAAACTAGGAAAGACAACTCCACTTTAAGTCTTCTCAAATTCTTTAAACCCAGTATTGACAGTCCTGTTTCACTTACAAAAAATTCACAAGGTATATATGAGGAATTATCATCTCTTATTAGCAATTCACAAGATCCTCGTATAGGCAGTTTGTGTCCAGTAATCCCCAATATTGATACATCAGTGGGTCGTACCACAACGTTCGGATCTAACGATTTCATGTTCTTGAATGAAATAATGGACTCTATACTACCTGTGTCCACAATAAAGTCATGAAATGAACCAAGCGATGTATATAGTCGCTTTTGAATATGAGCATTACCTTTCGAAATGGTAGATGTTACGGGAGAAACGAAGACATTTTGCTGATTAAAACCTTCATGTATAAATATCATTAATTTCACTGTTTTTGGGTACATTTGTTTTACTTAACTTGTGAACTTGTTTGAATTATTATTTGCGGACATATTGGACTCCCGTTTCTCTTTGTTGTTCGTTGCAGTTTTTTGCTCCAAGAGATAATAAATTAGAAGAACGACATTGGTCGTCTATTTGTAATAAAGTAT